CGCTCACCGACAGCCGAGGCCTCTGTCAGGACGGGAGCTGCGTTCCCGGCGGCTGCTGCACGCGAGGGGTGACAGAGCAGGGCCGAGGGGGAGTTCTGGGCGGTTGGACTAGATGGTCTGTCGAGGTCCCTTCCAACCCCTGGGATTCTGTCTGATTCTCAAAGGTGTTGTTGTGTTTTTTTCTTAAACCCTAAATCTCTAGGTGTGCTATTGTGGCCGTGACCCCCAGTGATAAATCTGATTTAAAATCTTGGTCTCTTTTCCCTGTTCTACATAAAACGTCTGGTTTTCCAGTACATGATGTGGTGCTAACGTTGAGCTCAGGGTCAGAGGGTCTTGGTTTCGGGTTCTTCCTTGTCAGCAGGGCAGGTCACTCAGTATTTCTTTCTTCAGTAGCTCAAGTACAAAACGTTGCTAAGAGCAGCTGCAGATTTCTCCCTTATCTTGGTGGGTTATGCAAGATGAACAAGCTGACCTGGTAGTTGTTTTGCAGATGAGCAGTGCTAGGATTTCATTTATTTGTACAGTTACTCTGCAGACTGGGAATCTCTGTGTGTCTGAGGCTCCTGACAGCTGGCTCCAGCTTTGCTACAAAACAACAGGGTTGTTTGAAGCAAAAAAAACCCCAAACCAAACCAAAACTGAGAAACCTGTTCCTGTAGAAGGCAGAGACACTGGGTTTGGCAGCAGTTTAAGCAACCAGCAGTAGGCTGCAGTTGCCACTGAATTGTTCTGACATGTTCATGTACTGCTCTTCCACAGTGGTGCCTGAGAAGCACAGGCTGAGGGACTTTGTTTTAAGGTACCTTTTTTTTATTTTCCATCACACACGGGACATTTTGACAAGCACAGTTAAGCTTTTCTGGCAGTGCTTTTATTCAATTCCTAGTGTCCTGAGCAGTGCTTGAGAGCTGTGTGCTCCAGCTAAAGCTCTTCAGGCAGAGTCATGGGGACACTGGGTTTGAATACTTCCTTCTGAAGAGTTGCAACTCAAACCTTTTCTGATGCCTTCAGATCAGGGCTGAGAGGCAAAAAACGAGGCTTTCCCTGGTTTTTTTTTCAAAGAGAAGACCTAGGTGGGCAGATCAGCATCCCAGTGCCAGAAAGTTTCAAGGCATGGTTTTAATTTTTAGGGGTGGTCCCAGAGAATGCACTAAAAACACCCACAAGACTGTACTTTAACAGAGTGTGCTCCAAAGCAGGTTCCCAGGCAGCTGAAGCTGGTGAAGAGGAAGGAGTCTGGAGTTAATTTTAAACCAGTATTTTGTTCATTGGGTTTTTCTGTGAGATAAAAAACCTAGGAAGGTGAACTAGCAAACATGGTATTGATTTTTCTTTTTTAATTGGACCAGCTGATGCATTTGGGAAAAGGGATCAGTTTTGAGGAAGGAACTCAGCCTGAAAGGGTCCCAGTTTTATATGTTAGTCAAAGATCCTGCATCTTGTCACTTTTAATTCAACGTGTGTTACATGATACTACTTTGCTTCCCTGTGAAGGTGCATGAAATTGCTCAGTTGTTTGTCACACGTCTCTTCACAGGTTACTGAGATCCTGGTTGCAACCACTGTTGTTTTTTGGCATGCAAAGATGATTCTTTCCCCCTCCCCTTTTGCTTTGTTCCTCCAGTTCAGTTTATTGCACTCCAAAGAGTGCTGGAAAAACATTGTTACAAAACTATCCTTGAGGTTTGTCTTCTGCCAAGGGAAGGTGCTAGGCAAGCTTTTCAGCTCCCAAGATAAGTGTTGCTGATAAGGCTTATTACTTTATACTTATTTTTTTCTTTTCTTTTTCCTTCCCCACTGTCAGTGATTCAGACCAGATAACACTGAGAATTCTTTCAAATGTCCTCAAAATGTGAAAACAACAGTGTAGTGACCAGGCTGCTGAAGTTGTTAGCTTCCAGTTCATCAGATTTTTTACCTATTCTGCTTTTTAATGATGGGGGCTTTTCAGATCTGCTTCATTTCCAGCCAGCAGTGATAATTTGGATGGTGATCTGTGTTAGTATCACTTGTCTTTCTTTTTAACAAACACAAGTGATGTTACTAAACTATACTTCCAGAAGCACACACCTTTTTTAGAGCTGCATGTTTAAAGTCTTTCACACATCTGTGGATCACCACAACAGTGTTTATTGTGCTCATAAGCTGTGAAATCCTCTATTTGTGGTGCTTGGCTGTAGGAGCTGGGTGAAACAGTGTGGTCATGTTTTGTACAGTCTTTGAGAGTTGTGTGCCTCACACTGGTTAAAAATCTACATATGAAATGGTAAATTCCTCAGAGATTGAAGATCTGTTATCTGTGTTACAGCTCAGTTGAGTCTAATTCCCTCTTGCCCAGCTTCATTTACAGCAGTCATCATATTTTTAGTGTTTGATATAGTATATTTCAGATCACAGGGTAGGCAGCATGTAGCCTCTAGACACTGGGGGCTGCACACTCATCTCTTGGGCTGCAGCACCCTTTCACTTTTAACCCAGGTTTCATGCACGCAGGCTAATTAGACTTATATCTCTTCATGCTGTTGCGTTTGGCAAGAGGAAGCCAGTTCAGATCACCACGTTGTTTTCCCACCCTATCTGCACAGAACACCCAGTTTCCAGGGAGAAAAACCTGGCTTAGGTCTGATACACTGATAAACCAGCTTATACTGATACAGTCTAGTCAGGGTTCATGGAGTACAGTGTTCATGGCATACAAGACCAGCTAAGGATGTAAAGCGTGATGACTCGATGGGAGTTTGTATGTACCCACTACAGGACTCTGCCTCAGTCTGAGATGCTGCAGGATCCAGTCTGGGAGGTTAAGATCAAAAGGAGGGGTCCCTCTACCACTCCTTTCATTTTCAGGCCACAGCAAATCCATCCCCACTCCTGAAACAGAGTCAGAGCTATGCCTGTGCTCTGAACACCTCCCTTCTGAACACACAGATCCCTCCTTCTACACCTTATTAGATCTGCTCATCTTGTCCTCCCCTGCCTTGCTCACTCACCTGTGATCCTGCAGTGCAGCCACTCAGCAGCAGGTCAGAACTCGTGTGACTGACTCCAGATTTACATTTGTTTTTATCTCTGAACATGAAATAGGCACATCTAATATACAAAACATGCTAATTGATCTTCTTAACAATCTGTGAGAGCAAATCTGCCGTGGTGCTGAGAGGAACTATCCTTTCTTGTCCTAGGAAAACAGCCCCTGCAGGTGAGCACTGGTGAAAATGGGGGACACAAGAGACATCTGTCCTCACCTGGATTCCATAGGAGAGGTGACCAGGGATGATCTGCTGCTCAAATCCAAGGTACAGGGTGTTCTGGTTGTCAGTCCTTTCCCTTTTAGCTATTGTGCATGGGTTTGCACATTTCCTTTTCAAAGAAAATGCTGCCTGTCTGCAGAAAGGAGAGGCAGAAACTCATTTTCCAACCCTCCACAGGTCCCATCAAGGGAGGCTTCACTGACCCCAGCTGAGCTATTACTGTCCTCAAGTGTGTCAATTAGCTAAAACACTGCAAAGTGTCTATTCAATGGGCAGTGTGGTATTAAGAAATTAAATACCATGAGCTACAGGCCTGTCTCATAGAGGAGCTTCCCCAGTCTTGAGCACCTAGGTTACTTATAAACTAAACAAGCAAACCAACTTTATTTTATCATGAATATGCAGGGAACTTGCCAGTCTTGTGGAGCTGTGGGACCAAATCTCTGGGCTTGTCTTCAGGTAAAAATGGTTTGTTATTTGTGTGCATGATGTGGTGGGTCTTCTTTTTAATATATTTAATAAAAAAGAAGTATTGTACAAAGAAAAAAGAGTGGGAAGCATGGAGGGGGTTCATGGTAGAATTCTCCACTGTTTTTGGATGGATTCCAAGGAAAAGACTCCCCAGGCTAAAGGCTAATGCTGTCAGAATATGTGAAGATGTGAGAGTTCACC